GTCACTCTTCCTACTTGATCAGGTTAAATTACCACCACAATAGCACAACCTTCTTTCGTTCCATTTATGTGCAACAATTCTCTTCGCCAGTCTTTTTTTTTCGATATCCTCTTGTGCAGCACAAGCAAGACGAAAAAAAAAAAAAAAAAAAAAAGACGGAAGAAGACTGACTAGCAAACAGGCAAACGAGGAGTAGTGAAGGTCTTGAAATAAGTGAAGATCTTGAAATAAGTATCTTCGTCCATTGAATCCATTTGATCCAACGGGCGTCAATACATCAACTTTGTGCTTTCGTCATTTCGTCATTTTTCTCCAAGTAAACGTTCGTCGGCAAGACCATACCGTCGTTTGCAATACACAAAAAGTTCGACCGTGAAATTTCAACCTCTTTCACCAGACAGACACCTTCCTATCCCACACACATTGCACCAAAATGGCAGAGTTTTGCTCAACCACTCCTCAGGGAAGTAGTACACTAGTAAGCACACATCATCGATCATCACTGCATGATGCGACAACAGCGACAAGAAGCTGAGAGCTGAATAAAAACACTCACTCTGGCCGTCATCACTACGCGAATTACCGGTAGCTTGATTGCCTTGACTAACGAGAACTACTCTTTCTTTTTTATGCCTTCGCCCTAGCTTGTCCCGGTTACAGCTTGCTCTCCCTTCCGTCGTTCCACTCCTTTTGCTTTCTTCGACCGCAACTTTACCCCGCCTAACGACGATGGATCTGGTCGTAGTTTCGGTTCTGATTCACATCTCCACCAATGTGCGCACTACTGATTGACGTCATACTCACAGTTCTAAACGTATTTGTCCGTAATTAAGGCCGGAGCTGGATGCATCTAGCCTCAATGACATCCAGAACTCAGTCGATAAGCCCTAGTGCGCTGAGAAACGAGGGAGCGTTGTTGAGTAACAGCAGGGATGTTTCACACAGATCCCTTTGAGGCTCCTACACAGACACATGTGTTGGTTTCCTACGGGCTACGCCCATTTCATTTCAGAAGGGAGAAAGAGAGACCCAGAGACATCGAGAGGGGAGAGAGAGGCTGGAGTCCAACCCACCACATCACAACATCGATTGATGAAAAGGAGAGGCAGAAGAGGGGCAACAAAATGTGATGATGTGACTGAAAAAACAGAAGTGGTTGCAAGCGTGGAGTGGTGGGTCGGCTACCTCGCTCGCGCTGCACAGAGAAAGAAAGGAGGGGGGAAGGGAGGAGGGAGGTTTACGAAGATATATACAAACGAAAGGGGATCAAGATATGATGACCCTCCCTCCGCTTATGTATTCACCCATCAGAAAATCAATCAGACCAAGTGCATCCCGTCACCATCGATCAGAATTTTCAGAAAGAGCAACAACCGGAAAGATGGGGAGGATAAATACACAGTGTGTGTGCTGTCTCTTATACACATCTAGATGTGTATAAGAGACAGGAATTGTGAGGACCCCGACCTCAACATGGTCTAT